GCTATCGAAGTATATAAATTAACGTAAATATAAATTCACATAAATTAAATAAATATAAATCTCACAGGTCGGTTCCCACATTAAATATGACCGAAAAAGTAAGATTATTAATTCTAACCCGAATTTTCTCTATCTTTCGTACATTTCTTTTCACTGTTGGTGGTAATTCAAAAATCAATTCTCCAAAATCCATTTTTATTTCTAGTCTGACGCGACACTTGAGCGCGTTTCATAAAACTTATTACATTTTCAAAGACTTTAGTTTACACATACACAACTGAATAGAACTTACACATCTCCGATTTGTTTGTATCTACATTTGAATGAGGTGGATGGGGTGAGGTGGCATTAAGAGGGTATTAATTTCATCAACACAAGACAGAACACAAAACAATGGGTATTGAATGGAAGTGATTGTAGAAAGCCTATTGGTCCATATTTCTTGATGCTTCTATATTGGAGCGGAGTCTTGAGGTGGGTAGAATATAGTTGTGCATTAATTGGCTGTTGATTGCTGGTGTTGACTTCTTGATGTGTAGTGCCTCACAAACGTCAAGCCGCCTGCTATCGCTGTATCTATCGATGATTTCTGTGTTGTTTACTAGGATTTCTCTGGCGATGGTTTGGTTGTGGGAAGAGATTATATGTTCCTTAATGGAGCCCTGTTGCTTATGCATCGTTAAACACCTAGAAAGGTACAGGTACAGATAGGTACAAACGCCCAGATAGGTACAAGAGGAGTGTTGTTAACGCATATGTCGACCGTGCTCTCAGCCACAGCTCAGAATGGAAGCAAGTCGACGAAGAACTCTATAGGGTAAGGCAGGTCCTAGTCAACAACGGCTTCTCCAATGGTTTCGTCGAAGATATCATAAGAAGGAAAGTGAAACGCCATGCAACCTCTGAAGAGACGACCAACACAACACCTATACCCTCTATTAGACTATTTTACAGGAACTTCTTTTCCACAGCTCATAAAACGGAGGAAAGGGTCCTGAAAGATATTGTTAATAGAAACGTTATCCCTACAGACAAAAATCAGAGGATACAACTGACGATTTACTATAAAATCAGAAAAACGGCCAGCCTACTCATGAGAAACTCTCCAGACACAAAACAGAACGCTTTAAAAGAGACCAACGTCGTCTATGCCTTCAAATGCCCTCTTGGGGACTGTAAGCTCCAAAAAAACCAGTATATAGGCAAGACAACAACATCTCTTTCTAGGCGTTCAACGATGCATAAGCAACAGGGCTCCATTAAGGAACATATAATCTCTTCCCACAACCAAACCATCGCCAGAGAAATCCTAGTAAACAACACAGAAATCATCGATAGATGCAGCGATAGCAGGCGGCTTGACGTTTGCGAGGCACTACACATCAAGAAGTCAACACCAGCAATCAACAGCCAATTAATGCTCAACTATATTCTACCCACCTCAAGACTCCGCTCCAATATAGAAGCATCAAGAAATATGGACCAATAGGCTTTCTACAAACACTTCTATTCAATACCCATTGTTTCTGTTCTGTCTTGTGTTGATACTTTTAATACCCTATTAATATCCCCTGTTCTGTTTTGTGTTAATGCCACATCATCCTTCCCACCTCACTCAAATGTAGATATAATATCAGAGAGACGTAAGTTCTAATCAGTTGTGTATTTGTGAAGTCTTTGAAAATGTAATAAGTTTTACGAAACGCGCCCGTGTCGCGTCAGACTAGAAATAAAAATGAATTTTGGTGAAGTGATTTTTGATTTACCTCCAACAGTGAAGCGTAATGTACGAAAGATTGAGAAAATTCGTGTTAGAATTATTAATCTTACTTTTTCGGTCATATTTAATAATATATGTCTACAGGAAAGACTGCTACCAAAATATACTAATAATATATATATATATATATATATATATATATATATATATATATATATATATATATATATATATATATATATATATATATATATATATATATATTTTACGTGTGTATGTAATATTAACAATTGTGTAACTAGTTTCATAAGAGTGTCACTTGCTTAGCTAAACGAACTATGGGGTTCAGTTCCTGAATTCATTATGCTCCTCTTTAACCCTAACCCTTTCCAACACCGTCCCATGGAATGAGTGCATGATAAATAAATTAAATAAAATGATGAGAGGCGTACTATTCACACTATACTGGCAAGACCTCTTCACTCCCCCAACCAATAACACTCCATAACATTCTCTGGCTAAATACATGGACCCAAAGCAACCTTCAACACATCGCTCACAACCCCTACATTGGCTTAGCAAAAATCGACTCACACAACGAACTCACAACCCTCCTGATGACTCACCAGGTCACAACCATACTCCTAAATGGATGCCTTCACTATATGGCATCCATTTAGGTCATGGGTGTTGGCTCCTAAATGGATGGCTTCACTATGGCAACCATTTAGGTCATGGGTGATGGCCCCTAAATGGAGCCATCACCCATGTCAGCTACATACATACACGAATATAAATAAATAAATAGTTTATTTAGCTAAAAGTGCATACATACATATTGAGCTACAAGTGCAATGTTGGATTTCTAGGCAGAGCAATTGTATTTAGTAGGCCTAAAGCCAGTAATACGCATAGCGTTTCTGGCAAGAAGCAGGGAAAAAATTTAAAAACTTTGACTTAAGCCTAATTGAGATCAACAGCATGAATGGAACCGACATATGTTGACCTTTAGGAGGTAAGGAAGGTTACATGGAGTTGATTAAGTAGCACTTAGTGGTTTTTCTCTTAAACTGGATGATAGAGGGGGGAGTCTTTGACCTGATTGGGAATACATACATACATACATACATACATACATACATACATACATACATACATACATACATACATACATACATACATACATACATACATACATACATACATGTACAACTAGGTGAGTATATACATGCACGTCTAATCAGCATATTGCTATTTCGGGATAAAATCCAATACAGTTTATGTTGGTGAGACGTTTAAAAATGAGGAGTTTATGAGGAGATTACTGTGATGAGGAGAATAGTGAAAATCACCCAGTGGTTTGTAGCATATGACTTTGTATCCAGAGATGTCAGTAACGTCTGAAAGCTCTAGTTCCTTGCTTTGTTCGTAGTCCCTGCGATTAAGTTCGTTTGTTTTATAGGTCTGATGCAGACGAGGAGTCACAATAACGTGGCTGGAATATGTTGACCAAACCACACTCTAGAAAGTGAAGGGACGACGACGTTTCGGTCCGTTCTGGACCATTCTGAAGTCAACTGATCATTCACAATCGACTTGAGAATGGGCCAGGACTGACCGAAACGTCGTCGTCCCTTCACTTTCTAGTGAGTGGTTGGGTCAACATAGGTCTGATGTCGTGCGATTTGATCTGAAATACCTTGGGAAAGGCATAAAAGGATACTTAGTGCCTTATTATTTCCAAAAACACTCCTATCTTCGGACGTATCGCCATCAAAGATAACGATGAACGTTTACATACTAGGAGAACTCTGCTTACCTTGGTTGAGCGGTGGATGTTGATACTGAGGCCGCCTGGGGCAGGGGCGGTCTCTGTTTACATCTCGATGCTGGCGACGTTTCGCCTCTAATATGTTCGCCTTACTGTGATGTTTATTGTCCAGGAAAACTCCTTCTAGATCGTCCTCTAAGGGCGGGAGACCATCTTGATCTAAATGTGTGCCATGTAACAGTGGTTTCTTAAAACCCTCAAAGGTATCGTGAATGTTTGTAGGAGAGACGCTGTGTGCCCCTCCAGCCGTCGCTATGTCGTCGCCACGCCCCTACTCCCTCGCCCTCAAGGTAACATTATTGTTACATTGTAACAACATCATGAGTTGTTGGTTAAATTATGGTAATACTCGGAGTTAATGGTTAAATTATGGTAATACTCGGAGTTACTGGTTAAATGGTGTAAGCAGTAATGGGTAATAGTTATACAGTATTAGCAGCTAGGTCCATTGGTAAAATAGTGTTAGTGGCTATAGTTAATGGTTAACTCTGTTAACAGCTATTTTGATTGGTAAAAGTGTGATTATAGATAAGGTTTTAAGCTAAATTTATTTACATAATAATGTTTAATCAATAATAATTTGTTAAAACAATTTCCTCAATAACTCTACTAGTTGAAAATTAATCAATAACCTTTATGTGGGTTGTCTTTAAGTTGTGTTAACAGCTGCGTTTATTAATCATTGTTAACACAGGTTAATGGTAGAGTTGTGTTGAGGCGGGTTAATGGTAGAGTTGTGTTGAGACGGGTTAATGGTAAAGTTGTGTTGAGACAGGTTAATGGTAAAGTTGTGTTGAGACGGGTTAATGGTAGAGTTGTGTTGAGGCGGGTTAATGGTAGAGTTGTGTTGAGACGGGTTAATGGTATAGTTGTGTTGAGACGGGTTAATGGTATAGTTGTGTTGAGACGGGTTAATGGTATAGTTGTGTTGAGACGGGTTAATGGTACAGTTGTGTTGAGAACTCGGATTATATTTCACTTGTCATGGGAGGAGTGGGAACTATCAAGAGAAAGCGCCAACCACTTGGACGGTCGGGGATTGAACGAAGACCTTCATGAAGCTAGACCGTCTTTGTACCGTCTAGTCCAAGTAGTTGGACGTATGTCATGGGCGATAATATGTGAATCAGTCCAATTCGTAATGGTTTTCCTCCTTGCGTTCACTCCCACTCTCGACCCGGACGTATACGCGGCTGGCTATCTTACCCCCACCCCCAAAAAATTATTGTTCAAACATAGAATTTTCTCATAAGATTAAAAGCAAAGTCTTGTTCTCACTTCTGTGTCATTCTGTCATGGTTAGCTACTAAAAATTTGTCTTGCAAATTGTTCTTATGCTAATACACGTGGAAAAGGAGTGATATCTTAACATTATTCCGAGGTTGTGTACGACTTATCACTGGGGGCGTTGAGCGCGTGTGTACTTGGTGGAGTGCGCCACACAGCAGGCCCTGAAGCACTGGGTGAGGGAGCGAGCAGTTTGTGTAGTGCACTGTGGCGGGTGAGGGTCATGTTGCTGCGACTGTTCCTTCTCTGGGTCCTGGTGGCCTGCTCCCCTGCCACACCAAACACCAAGAACAGCTATAGACAGGAATTTGCCTGGACAGATGGCGCCAGTTGTAATGATGTTGCCTCACAGGTAAAGGTGTTGGAACAGAAGCAACTTGAAGTCACTGATGGTAAGAACAATGCTCAAGATTTATTTACATTTCATTGTTACTGTTTTAATGATACATTTGTCCATTGTATAAAACACAATAAGGTATACAATGTAAACTCTGGTGTAGAGTATAGAATGAACGTAAAACTATGCGATCTCAAAGGTTATCATTATTTACAGGTGTGATGACTCTACTAAGTAGAGTAGACAACCTGACTGATGTGGTCTCTACTCGCCTCACCATTGATGACAGGTGTATAGAAGGTAAACTCTTTTCTCACCATTGATGGCAAGTGTATAGAAGGTAAACTCTCGCCTCACCTTTGATGATAGATTATAGAAGGTAAAAAAGCCTCACTATTGATGATAGGTCTATAAAAGGTAAACTCTCGCATCACCATTGATGACAGGTGAATAGGAGGTATACTTCTGCCTTACTCTTGATGAAAGGTGTATAGCAGGAAAACATTCGGGTGTAAACAACACATGAGCGTATTATGTGTCTGTCGGTATCATGGACACCCACAGCATGACAGGTGTGTTCCACCCCGGTGTTATGTATTGTACCGGCACCAGCGATGGTGGCCTCACCTATTGTCTTGGGAAGCTTAGGAAGATATCTTACATTTATACACTGACGGATGACATGAAGTGTTGCACCAGAGAATCGGAGTTGACGGAGCCAAGTGTTGCACCAGAGGACAGGTGTTTACGGAGCCAAGTGTTGCACCAGAAGACAGGTGATAACGAAGCCAAGTGTTGCACCAGAGGACAGGTGTTGACGAAGCCAAGTGTTGCACCAGAAGACAGATGTTGATGGAGCAGAGAGTTGCACCAGAGGACAGGTGTTTACGGAGCCCCTTTGTTGCACCAGAGGACAGGTGTTGATAGAGCCAAGTGTTGCCCCTTAGAACAGAAGATAATAGAGCTAGGTGCTGCTCCAGAGGACAGGCGTTGATAGAGCCAAGTGTTGCACCAGAGGACAGGTGTTGATGGAGCCAAGTGTTGCACTTGAAGACTGAAGGTGATGTATACAATTGTTGCACAAGAGGGCAAGTGTTGATGGATCCAAGTGTTGCCCTAGAGGACAGGTATTAATAGAACCAAGTGTTGAACTAAAGGACTGGTGTTGATTGGGCCAAGTGTTGCACAAGAAGACGGGTGATGACGGAGCCAAGTAAAGCACCAGAAAACAGATGTTGATAGAGGTAAGTGTTGCACCAGATGACAGGTGTTGATGGAGCCAAGTGTTGCACCAGAGGACAGGTGTTGATGGAGAGAAGTGTTGCACCAGAGGACAGGTGTTGATGGAGCCAAGTGTTGCACCAGAGGGCAGGTGTTGGTAGATCCAAGTGATGCACTTAAGGACTGGTGTTGATTGAGCCAAATGTTGCACAAGAAGGCAGGTGTTAAAAGTCAAGTGTAGCACTAGAAGACAGGTGTTTATAGAACCAAGCGTTGAACCAGAGGAATGGATTTGATTGGGCCAAGTGTTGCACCAGAGGACAGGTCGAGTTGACAGAGCCAAGTGTTGCACAAGAGGACCGATGTTGATGGAGCCAAGTGTTGCTACAGTGGACAAGTGTTGATGGAGCCTGTTACCTATCTGGTACAGCAAAGCTCGTATATCGGTCAGCACGGGAACATTGTCTAGGGTTACAGTCCCATGCAGGAAATGGATATACCAGAATGCAATCGTGTAGATACAAACATTAAAATGGCTAAAGAGAATGGCATATATAAATAAAAGTCAAATGTATTTAAATTCTTCAGTAACAGTATAACACAATTATATTCCTAATTTGAGTAGGGTTTCTATTATTTATGTCTCCTCAGATAAAATATATCATCTACACTAGAACCAAGAACCACTACAAGACTTAACTTAAAAGTAGAATATATGTTAACCGTTCGACCGTTCACCAGCTACTGTCGCTCCACGGCCTGACTCAAGCGCTGCCTGGCAACATCTCAAGGCTGCCACAAAGCAGATACACTCCAGTTATATACAGTACAAATGATAAAAACCATTTCCAAACATGCACAATCATACTAAAATAATGTTTCATACATGCAAATAATATAACTAAAGGTATAAAAATTCTTAATAATATGAACTAAGAGATTTAGTACTAAAAGGAGTCGATATCTGACAACCCAACAGCTGATCAATAATCTTCCTGTCTTCTCACAGGTATCAGACAGGAACCTTTCCTGTCCCTCTAACAACCTAGCTAAGACCACAATTATGTTGCCATGTACTAAATATAATACAAGAGCCAACACACACACACACACTCATTTTATATATATATATATATATATATATATATATATATATATATATATATATATATATATATATATATATATATATATATATATATATATATATATATATATATATATATACACACACACACACACACACACACACACACACACACACACACACACACACACACACACACACACACACACACACACACACACACACACACACACACACACACACACACACACACACACACACATACACACATACACACACACACACACGGCAGGAAGGGCATCAGTGGCATATCCGAGACATAAAAAATCAGAACATCAGTCACCAAGAAAATGGTAGAAGTAAGTAATTATTAAAAGAAGGCACCAAACCGGGAAGGCTGTGTAGCACCATCAAATGTATGGAATAATCAGAGGGCGCTAAATATCACCAAGGATGCCAATACGAGAACAAAAACGCATAAGGCGAACGATATCAAAAGTATCCGAGTCACCAAGAATCCTATTGAAGGACAGGTGACCATAAGGGGCGGTCGGTAAGCAAGACACACGCTCCTCCTGGAAGTCAGGACATTCAAGAAGGACATGCACGACCGTAAGAGGGACAATGCAATTAGGACAAGAAGGAGCAGGGCGGCGCTCCATCAAGTGACCATGGGTTAAGCGAGTATGTCCAATACGCAACCTCGCTAGAGCCGTTTCCCATCGCCGGTTACGGTGGAAGGAGGACGGCCACGAGGAAACACAATATTTAAGAGTACGTAGCTTGTTACTAGTAACAGACGACCAAGAAGCCTGCCAAAGGGGAAGGATGGAGGAATGGATAACCGGATAAAAGTCAGAATATGGAATACCTTTATGAGAGATGGGACAAGAGTGGACAGCTTTCTTGGCGGCAGCATCCGCACGCTCATTTAAAGACACACCAATATGGCTGGGAACCCAACAAAACTCAACCAACTTAAATTTATTGTGAACAAGAAACAGCCAATGCTGAATCTCGACAACTACTGGATGAACCGGATTAAAGGACCTGAGAGCCATGAGGGCACTACGAGAGTCAACAACAACTACAAAGGAAGACTGACAACGAGAAAGCAGGAGACGAAGAGCATAGAGAATAGCATAAAGCTCCGCAGTGAAGATGCTAGTCTCTGGAGGTAAGCGACACATATAACTGCGATCAGGAAAAACAAGAGTAGCCAATACCGTCCGCAGACTTAGACCCATCGGTGAAGACAGAAACGGAGCAGGAGTGAGAAGAAAAGTGCTCAAGGAAAAGGCATTTTAGAACCGTAGGTGGGGTAAAAGCTTTAATGATGCGGGTCAAGAATGTACAAAACTGCGGAAGGAGGACTCTCCATGGGGCCAAAGAAGGAACAACACGAGGAGAAACATTAGAAATACGAACGGAAAGAGAATCCTGTAAGCGAGATAACCGGACAGAAAAAGGGAGGTGGTGAAGAGGAACAGGAACCACAGGAGGGGTAAAAGTTAAAGCACGACAAAGGCGAGAGGAAGGATGTTGTAAGGACCGTGCAAGATAGCAAAGACCGTAGCGATCACGGCGGTCCTGGAGAGACAGGAAGCCAGTGTCAACATACAAGCTAAGGACAGGAGTCAAACGAAAGGCACTAGAACTGAGGCGCAACCCAGTATGGTGCAAAGCATCAGGACGGCGAAGAGTAGAAGGAGAAGCAGACGACTAAGCAGGGCAACCATAATCGAGTTTAGACAGGACAAGAGAGGAATGTAAAGCAAGGAGAGTGCGCCTATCCGCTCCCCAAGAAGTATGGGACAATACCCGAAGGAAGGTAAGGGCCTTAGAGCACTCAACATGGAGGTAAGAGATATGGGGAGACCAGGACAAACGAGTGTCAAAGAATAACCCCAAAAGCTTTGCGGAATCTTTGTATTCAAGGGGATGACCATAAAGTGACAAAGAGGGACGAAGAACAACCCGTTTCCGAGTAAAAGTCTTGGCACAAGTCTTAGTAGTATAGAACTTGAAGCCATGATCGGTGGCCTAAGACGACACGGCATCAATCACAAGTTGAAGCCGGCGCTGAAGGAGAGGCGAATCATCACCCTGACAGCAAAGGGCAAGATCATCGACATAGAGAGCGGAGAAGACGCTTGAAGGACGAGAGAAAAGAAGACCATTGAGGGCAACCAGAAAAAGAGTAGTGCTCAGAACACTACCCTGGGGCACACCTTCATGTTGTACCAGTTGCCCTCAAGCTAGAGGAGGAGCAGGCAGGATGTATCCATCCTCCTGTTTGACATAGGCCTAGGCCTAAGGTCTAGTCTTCAGTGCGCCAAATAGGTCAGCTACAGCGTTACTAAGTGTGCACCGTCCCTCCTACCAACTGTGGTAGGCCCTGGATGTGTGGATTGGCCAGAAATTAAGGCAGTAATTGTTAATGTGGCAATATCGAGGCCTGCTGAGGGGAGAGTCGTGAGGTAGGTGGGCCGCCCCACGGTACCTGGAGCCTCGGGCACCACGCGCGTGAAAAATAGTCTTTGTGCCCTCCCTACCCAAGGTCGCGGTTTGTGTGTGCGACTAGTGTGTTTACACAAGAGACTGCCAGGACACCCCATATAGTGCCCCTACACTACGTGTGGGTGTAAACCTTGTGCCTTGTAGGTGTCTATATGTACATGTGTGTGTGTGTGTAGGTTAGAGTGCAGTGTTGAAGACATACCACCTAACAACACATGAAGTGAGCCGCAGTAAATAGATGGTTGACACGAGGAGTAAGACTTTGAGACAAGTGACCATGGCTGGTGTGCCCGGGTACCATAACGCCCTCCTCCCGGCGGGGGCTCCTGTCCCGGCGGGAGGCCCCGGGTGCTAATCCCCACCTGCCTTTCGGTGAGGATCCCAACCCGGTGAGGATCCCCACCCGGGGCCCTCCGGTGAAGATCCCAACCCGGGGCCCTCCGGTGAAGATCCCAACCTGGGGCCCTCCGGT